TAATTTTTTCTGTTTTTTCTCCATTGATATTAGAGAGAGAGGAAGAGAGAGATAGAAACATGGATGAGAGAGAACATGGACTGGCCGCCTCCTGCACACCCCCCACTGGGAATCAGGCCCACAACCTGGGTATGTGCCCTGACCAGGAATTGAACCAGCGACCTCTTGGTACAGGGTCGACGCTCAACCACTGAGCCACACCGGCTGGGCCAAACTTCTCGTTTGCACAGAGAACACTAAATGGTATTTCAGAAGCCCTATGCTTAGTCTTAAGCGGTAGAAATGGAGGTGATATTAAAAACGAATGGACAAATGTAGAGAAATTAAAAGTATTTGCATTTAAATTTTAAACAGCGTAGCTGGCTTTCTCGAGGCGTGGCATTTCTGAAGATAACATTTTAAAACTTCATTAATGGTAGCGATCTATTATGGAAAATAACAGGTAAGCAAAGAACAGTAACGGACACGCCCCCCATAATTCCAACATTACTGATTCACGTCTTCCCGAGTAGAGGTTGAATTATGCTCCCCTCCCCCAAGTCATTTGTTGACGTCCTAACACGCAGTCGCTCCGAATCTGGAGATAGAGGTGACCAAGTTCATGTGCAGTCACAAGGGTGGGCCCTGATCCAACACGACTGGTGTCCCTACAAAAAGGGGACATTTGGCTATGTCCACATGTACACAGGACAGGCATTGTGAAGAGACATGGGCACAGACGCCTGTCCACAAGCCGAGAGAGGCCGGAAACTGTCTTCCCTCGCCCCTCGGAAGGGACCCATCCTGCGGACCCCTTGACTCTGGACCTCTGGCCTCCAGAGCTGTGGGAGCAGCAACCCCTGTTGCCTGAGCCTCCCTGGGAGCCGCACTTCATGAGGGCCGCTGTGGTGCACTGATGCACTCTCCGTCCTCTGGCTGAGCACATGTGTAAATAAATGCATATGTGTACAAACGTGTATGTACGTACACACGGGCCTGTCTATTTTAATTGGTAACAACTTGCATACTGTGTTGTAATTTATTTTATTTATTTATGTTTGTAGAAACCTCTCTCTCTGTCTTAAGATATGCTAATCATAATAATAATGATGATAATAATAATAAAGTTAACATGAAATATGTATTTAAGTATCATGCACTGTTCTAAATACTTTATGTCTGTGATTTTAATTTTCATGATTTCTAGAAGATTTTCAATGGCTATCTATTATTCCATTGCATGGACATCTCGTAGGACATTTTAAGTATATCTTATTAGCAAATGTTCAGATTTACTGCATTTTGGGGGTTTAAGGGAACATCCCTGCCATGAACATTTGTGTGTCATAATCTAGATGCACAGGTACCGATTACCTTCATGAGATGAGCCTCCATGGGCTTATGAAACTTAAAGGTAATTTGACAAAATATATGTGTACATATAATAGTGCATTTATATACATACACATACATGTACATGCTGCTATAGGAGAATTGCATGAACTGACCTTCTCCATTGCTAGTGAGAGCGGGGTTCTTGGGGTGCCACCGGAATAAGCATTTCTGGGGACCCCCACCGGAGGATAAGATACGGTAAAAAGTTTTATTTGCATGTCGTTCTATCTTTCGGTTTGCAAAGTCCGATTTCCCTTAAACCAATCCTGGAAAAAGACAGCTGTGGATTCAACAGAACTAGAAGCAAAGCCCGTGTCCAAGGTCTCCATTCGTGGTGGAGTTAAGTCTAGTGCAGCATCAGGCTAATCACAATCAATGAATCCCTTGTGTGGGGATCCACCCGGCTGTAAGCCCCGTGGGCGAGGGCAGAGCAGGAGGGCCCCTCACGCCAAGTCAGGTCCAAGCAGCAAGAGAGCAAAAGGGCAGAACTTCTTTGTTCAGGACTTTAAATATTGAGTCTTGCTGCACTTGCAGGGGCCACGCCTACTCTAGCCAATGATTCGTTCCCACATGTGATTGACAGGCAAGCGTCTTCCCGTGACACCCAGACCTTACTGGGCGTGTGTCTATTGTCCAGTCCCTTCCTCCAGCGATTTGGGGAGCAGACCTGAGAAGTGTTAGGCTACAGTCCCTGGCAAAGCTGTAGAAATGGTTCACCTACATTACCCAGCCTTCCTCTTGCTCCGTTCCTGCTCATTAACCACCAGGTTATTACAATGGCATCGGTGTGTGTGTGTGTGTGTGTGTGTGTGTGTGTGTGTACAGAAAGAGAAATTGTCTTCCCGAATATTCATACCAATTTTACCAATTTTTACTTCCATCAGAAATAAATGAAAGGACCCATTTTCCTTTATCCTCATTTTTTTTAAAGCCAATCAATTTGTAGGCAAGCGATACCTTATTGTCTTAATTTGAGTACCTTTGACTTCTAAAAACTTGAACTTTGAAAATCTATGCTTTAGCTCTTCTGAGTTCACCTTGTGTGAATTTGTTGTTTCTGTGTTTATTTTTCATTTGAGGTCGTAGTGGGAGTCTTTTTGTCCCTGGATTATTTTTATGATTTTCCAATCTCTCAATGTCCTACTAATTTAAGAAGTAACATCTGTCCAGCAGGTGTGGCTCTGTGGTTGAGCATCGACCCAGCACCAAAAGGTCACCAGTTTGGTTCCAGGTCAGGGCACATGCCCAGGTTGTGGGCCTGATCCCCAGTGGGGGCGTGCAGGAGGCGGCCAGTCGATGTTCTCTCTCATCCATGTTTCTATCTCTCTCTCCCTCTCCCTTCCTCTTTCTCTAAAATCAATAAAAGAAGAGAAGAAGAAGAAGAAGAAGAAGAAGAAGAAGAAGAAGAAGAAACATCAACTACTCTTTGATTGGCCACCTTGAACCCATGATGCATCTTGTCCATCCTAGGGTCATATCGCTGACCATCTCATTCAAACAGAACACAGATACAAACAAGCCAAGAAATAAGATACAAGGGTCTCTAAGAATGAAGGGAAAGGCAACAGTGAAGTGTATACATATTGCTCCAAAGGAGACCTTTGTAACAGAGTTGATTTCTACAAACATTAGCTGTGTTAGATAATAGACCAGAGGAACCAGAGAGAAAACAGATGCTGAGTCACATTAAATAAAACTCTCTTCCTTCTTGTCAGAAGTTTTCTCTCTGTACGCTTCCTCTCATTTTATTGTGCTCATCCCTTCCTCCGGGATTCAAGTGGAATCCTTAAATATGAGTTTTTGTGTACTGCCTTAGCTGACTTTCTCCTCATCTTCTAGATGGCTACTTTTTTACATGCTAAGGTTTCACTTTGCATAAATCTCCTGTATCATACCTGTTGCAATGTCTCCTAATTCTTTGCTCATATATCTGTTTCTGACACTAGATTTGTGAGCACCTTGAGATCAAGGTGACTTTGTCCACTCCAGTGCCTGGACCCAGACAGAAGGTGTGCCCATCATGGGAGATGTCATTCATCCTGAGGGTGTATTTGGATTAAGGGTGGATCCAAATATTTACTTTCCAATGTAAGGCTAAATCTTAGGAAATTTTGTCTTTGTGCAGAGCTAGGGCTTCGGAAGAAACCAGTGTGCTAGCTTAAGCACGCTAGAAGATAGGAGATCTATCTGCGTGGGTGCCCGCAGAGTTTATCCACCGCTCATTGTGACAAGCATGACAACCATACTTCTCCGGATCTCCGATGGCGGGTTCGGTCTCGGTGGAGGCTGCTGTTTCTAGTCTGCAGAAGAGGAGGGCTGTGACGTGCTCTCCAAGGGGCTTCTGGGTCTCAAAGCCTGTGATGCTCACGGAGGCTGCTCCCCAGAGGCAGTCTGGGGGTGCGGGCTGTGGACACAGAGCTGCAGCCCCGCTTGGGGTCCTACCGGGCGTGGCTGTTTCCAGCTGTCCCGGGGCAGACGGCTGCGCGTCCGAATCTGCCTGCCTCCCCGTGGGGTGTGGGCAGCAGGGGGCCCCGGTAGGGCTCCGGGCTGCGGGGAAAACGCCGGGGGGCGGGGGGGGGGGGACGCACAACCAGCCCCGCGGAAGGGCTGGGCCCAACCTGGGCTGTTGCACGTCCTCATCGGGTTTTCTAATCTGCTCGCAGCCGGGGGGCGGGAGCGGCCTTAATGGGGAAAGATGGTCAAAGACGGTGGGGAGTATATTCCTCAAGAACAAACGAGAAGCCCAGGCTGCCCCCTCTCAGCTGAGGTTGCCGCCCCGCCGTTGTCTTTGCTCCTTGGTGTGGTGCTGGGTGCAGCGGGGGGCGGGACAGGGGGTGTGGGGGAGGAGAACGGGGGGCGCGGAGACCAGAGGCCCGCAGACCCCTCCAGGCTGCGCGATCCTGGGAATGTCAGGGCCGCAGGGTGGTCGGGGGGTCCCACGTGGTAGTACGTCGGGGTGGTCCCGCGGAGTGGTCTGTTAGGGTAGTCCCGCCGGGTCTTCCTGTGGTCCCGTGGGACGGTCAGGAGGTTCCCCAGGGTGGTCTCGTGGTCCCGTGTGGCGGTAGGCCGGGGCGGTCCCGCGGGGTAGTCCTGTGGGCCCGCGGGGCGTTGTGGTGGTCCCGCGAGGCAGTCAGGTGGTCCCGCGGGGCGTTCTGGTGGTCCCGTGCAGTGGTCCCGCGGGGTGGTCCTGTGGGTCCACGGGGAGGTCAGGTGGTCCCGCGGGGCGGTCCGGTGGTCCCGTGCGGTGGTGGGCGGTCAGGTGGTCCCGTGCGGTGGTCCCGCGGGGCGGTCAGGTGGTCCCGTGCGGTGGTCCCGTGCGGTGGTCCCGTGCGGTGGTCCCGCGGGGCGGTCCGGTGGTCCCGCGGAGCGGTCAGGTGGTCCCGTGCGGTGGTCCCGCGGGGCAGTCCAGTGGTCCCGTGCGGTGGTCCCGCGGGTCGGTCCGGTGGTCCCGCGGAGCGGTCAGGTGGTCCCGTGCGGTGGCCCGCGGGGCGGTCCAGTGGTCCCGTGCGGTGGTCCCGCGGGGCGGTCAGGTGGTCCCGCGGGGCGGTCAGGTGGTCCCGCGGGGCGGTCCGGTGGTCCCGTGCGGTGGTCCGCGGGGCGGTCCGGTGGTCCCGCGGGGCCCGGCCATGGCGGACAGCGAGAAACCGGACAACCAACGGCTCAAGAACTTCAAGCACAAAGGCCGCGGCGCGGCGGCGCTGCGGAGGCAGCGGAACGAGGCGGTGGTGGCGCTGCGGCGGCACCGCAGAGACGAGCATCTGCTCAAGAGACGCAACGTCCCGCAGGGGGGCACCTGCGCGGGCGCCGCCGGGGCGCAGCCGCCCTCCCTGGACGCTGTCGTCCGCAACGCCGCCAGCGACGACCCGGGGGTTCGGCTCGGCGCCGTGCAGGCCGCCAGGAAGCTGCTGTCCAGGGACCGCGACCCGCCGATCGACGGCTTCATCCGGTCCGGGCTGCTGCCGGTTCTGGTCCGGTGCCTGGAGAGAGACGACAGCCCGTCCCTGCAGTTCGAGGCGGCGTGGGCTTTGACGAACATCGCGTCCGGAACCCCCGAGCAGACCCACGCCGTGGTGCAGGCCCACGCGGCGCCCCGCTTCTTGCGGCTGCTGCGCTCGCCCCAGCACAACGTGTGCGAGCAGGCGGTGTGGGCGCTGGGCAACATCATCGGGGACGGGCCGCAGTGCAGGGACTACGTCATCGAGCTGGGGGTCGTCCAGCCGCTGCTGGCCTTCGTCAGTCCGTCCCTCCCCATCACGTTCTTGAGAAATGTCACTTGGGTCATCGTCAACTTGTGCCGGCACAAAGACCCCCCGCCCCCGCTGGGGACCATTCGGGAGCTGCTCCCGGCCGTGTGCGTCTTAATCCATCACCCGGATATCCACGTCCTGGTGGACATGGTCTGGACCCTCTGCTACCTCACGGACGCGGGCAGCGAACAGATACAGGTGGTCATAGAGTCTGGCGTCGTCCCTCACCTGGTCCCGCTGCTCAGCCACGAGGAAGCTCAGGTTCAGATGGCCGTCTTGCGCGCCGCGGGCAACATGGTCACGGGCACCGATGAGCAAACGCAGGCGGTGTTGAACTGTGATCCTCTGGCCTATTTCCCAGCCCTCCTGATGCACCCCAAAGAGAAGGTGAACAAAGAAGCGATGTGGTTTCTGTCTAACATCACCGCGGGGAATTACCAGCAGATCCAGGCCGTCATCGATGCCAACCTCGTCCCGTTGATGATACACCTGTTGGACAAGGGGGATGTGGGCACCCAGAAGGAAGCTGCCTGGGCCATCAGTAACTTAACCATCAGTGGGAGGAAAGACCAGGTGGCCTTCCTGGTCCGGCACAACGTCATTCCGCCGTTTTGCAACCTGCTGGCCCTGAGAGACATCCAAGTGGTGCAAATCGTGCTTGACGGGCTCAGCAACATCCTCCGGATGGCGGAGGAGGAAGCGTACACCGTGGCCAGTCTCATAGAGGAATGCGGAGGACTGGAGAAACTCGAGCTGCTGCAGAATCACGAAAACGAAGACATCTACAAGCTGGCCTACGAGATCACCGACCAGTTCTTCTCTCTGGCCGATATCGACGGGGAGGCTAGCTATGTCCCAGGGGCAATGCACGGTGGGATGTTTGCTTTCAGTTCACCCACAGAGCCGTTCCAGTTTTAGAACAACGTGGAAGTTAGGTGCAGCGCAGCGCCCAGACAATGTATATGCGTAAAAAGATTCGACACCCCCCCCCCCGAGCTTGGCTCATGGCATCTGCTGCTGCATTAAACCAGGAAAGAACATGGGGAGGTTTCCCTGGGAATCACAGAAAAGGCCCAAATGGGGTCAACATGACGAGTGGGTGTGAGCGAGAATGAGTAGCAACACGTCATGAAAACTTTCCATTGGCGCTTATTTGGGCTGAATCAAGCGAAAAGGGCTACATGTCCCAGGTCCTCAGTGCCCGAGAAGGAACATCGACGTACTCTGTATCAACCGAAGGGAAATCGAGGCACTGTCGTCTTACAAGCCTACAGAGAACAGGACGTGCACGTAAGTCAAAGGAATGCGCGCCCAGGCCCTGGCGTGACGCAGTGCGGGACTGGACAGCCCTGGATGGATCAGGCCCGTCTTTCAAATGTAGGGCTGTTCACTCAGACGCGGACCCCGAATCCCGCAGTGACTGTCTACGAGAGCAGGCTGGGGTGCTGTGCGTGAGCCCGTGCAAGCTTGGCTCACCTCCGGGAGCTGCTAACAAGCCCAGCAAACCATCGAAACGAGATCATGCGTGTGGGTGTGCCGGACAGGAACACCAAGACTGGTTGAGCAGCGCACGTCGGTCCAGTCTGCGGCCTGTGTTTTTGATTCCTACTTCCCTCCTTCCAGCCCCCTCCTTCTCGTTAAGGTTGTCTTTTGCTTGTTTGTTTTTATCTACTTGACCTAGTGTGACTTCAGTTGCTTCTCAAGTCAGAAAGCGTTGCAGGAAGGTCTCCCGGTGCCTTTGCCCCGGATGAATGTTCGATGTGAAGAAAAACGTTCCGTATCAGCAGAACTGACTTGTGTAGACGTTCATGCGGGGGGACAAAAAAAACCCCCCAGATTTCCCTCAGAGTAGACTGGGTTCCTGCACACGAGTTGCCATCACAGTATAAAACGGCGCAATGTCATTTCAAACGCTGTCCTTTTCGTTTTCAGAGAGGACAGAAGGGTCCTTGCAGGAGGTCAATCAACAACATAGTTCAGTTGTAGGCGTTGCGGAGTCCTGCACTGAAGGGAAAGTCTCGGTGGTGGCGGGACACTGTGTTGCACTGAAATGTTATTTGCGTTTGAACTTTGATTTCCATGACGATGTGAGGGAAACTCCTACAATGGAATTTGGTGCCTCCGTACCGCTGAACCAAGCCCGCTGAAGAGCTTGGAGCAGACGTGCCGATCCGGTCATGGCTTGAGCACCTTTAATGCCCGCCTGATCTATCCAGTTGTTTGCAAATCTTTTCATCTTAAACGTGGGCAGCCAGGAAGCATCTATTCTGAGCCACTTCGGGGAGAAAACTTCGCGTCTTTAACACACAAAAGCCATGCGAGCGGTTTTTGCAAATTGGAAAACTGCCTCAGTTTTGAGGTTGTGCACACCCAGTTAAATGGGACATAAATTAATTTGGACAAGAAGAACTCTTCATAAGGTGGCTCGCGGTAGGAGGTCCGGTGCCTGTGAGCGCAGTGTTGTGTGAGCGACAGTTCGCTGTAAGCAACGGACCAGATCAGCCACCGCTAGCATCTGTATCTGCTTTGTGTTTAAAAAATCAGCTGGTAAATCTGAAACGCTGTCGAATGGATAAACAGTATTTTGTGATCAGAACTCTTTGTTGAACGAGGAGTATTTTTGCAGCAATCTTTATCGTCAGAAACACGGTCAAAGTTTAAAACTAGAAGCCGCAGAACACTAGCTGGTAAAATGTATCCAAGTGAGTGCCCGCTAGGCTGTCTTGGGGAAATAAACATTTAACATAAGCCAAAAATAAAAATAAAAATAACACATCAGCCTAAAGAAATGAAAGACATGCACGAATTCACGCAATAATAACAGTACTCCGTTTTGTTCTTAAGCATGTACGCTTATAGGTTTACAGATTTACAGATTTCTTTAAAGTATGTTGGTGTCGTAGGTAGCGGTGGCTCAAAATGATGTCACAAGGAGCTGAAAAAGGAGGAGGAAATCCCCAATAATTTGGGGGCATGCCTGTGTTCTGCTAGTCTACACTCGACGCAGAATAGATACTTTCAAAATGTGGGTACTCTTCTTAGTGCTAAAACTTAGGTAGAAAATTAAAGTGCTAGAAAAGAGGAATAATGGTAGCTGAAAGTGATAAAAAAAAAAAAAGACATTAGCCATATTATCGAAATGGCTTCGCTTACGAGAGAGATTCAGTAGGCATGTCTTCTTAGCCGGGTGCTGTTTGTATACAAAATGCCCAAGTTGACAATTTTGAAGATGAAATCATCACCTTGACCTGAAGGAGAGAGGGCGTCCCTGGGACCAGAGGGAGCCTGGGATCCATTTCTTCCCTGACTCAGCCCGTCCGAGCAGCTTTTATTCTGTGCCACTCGGAAGGAGCGCCTGTTTGCAAAGACACTGCTAGGACCTGCACCGAAATTGACCTTGTTTCCAAGGGGAACGCCAGCAGCCCCCTGGGAGGAACAAACCTCCCCAATTTCAGTTGCATTTAAAAGGATAACAGATTCCCGTCCAAGTCATGTAGCCTCTCGTGCCTGGTTTGTCCTTGACAGAAGGATTCAAAGCGCTGATTTAGACATTCGCTTCTTGCGGTCTCTGCAAGCGCTGAAGAATTTCTTCACCTGGATTCAACCACAACACCTCCAGTTACACAAATTACCTTCGACGGTTCTTTGTGGCCCGCAGAGAGTTGTGCGGGGCAGGGCAGGGGATCGGCAGCCTCTGAGAAGAGTCTTCCGTAGAGAACTTAGCCACGACTTTCTAAGAAGGAAAAGATTTTCTTTGGGTACATTGCAGGTGTCATTTTTAAATAAAGGCCTCAGACGTGAAACCCAAGTCCTTGAGTCGCATTAAGTCTTTATAATGTCCAGTGAGAAAAAGGGTATCCGTGCGTCTCCATTGCAACAATGTTCATATTCCTGGGCAATATTTAATTTCACAAGGTCCTAGGTAATGAGAAGCTCACATATTTTAAAGACAGCGGGTTCTTGGTTTTCAGGAGACACTAACAGGAGACCCTCAAGCCAACAGACAAGCCGTGCTCGGTTATAAATGACTGCGGGGTGTTTTGTAATAACCACACCATCGTTTTCCTGTGGCTGCCAAGTACCATGAAGCATCTATCCGATATATTTCCAGCCCCAAGTTGTTGGGAAAACGTAGTTATTTTTAGAGGTTCTTGAGAAATGTAACTTCTCAGATGCTATTTTGGTAGCATTTCGAGAAGACCTTAACTAAGACACGGGGTATGGAAATCACTCAGGCGGACAGGACAGTGTGGGGCGAGGCAGGCTGCCCTCTCTGCTTGGAGAGATCCGTCTCAATGCTGCTGGCCGTAGGGTAGGGGGCAGGTCTTGAACAGATTCCATCCCCTGAAATGCAGAGGTATCTTTTTCTTTATATGTTGATACTGACCTTTTCTCTCCCTCCTTTTTAAAAACAATTTTTTTCCTCAGCGGCTGCACCAGTCTGCATTCCCACCAGCAGTGCACTAGAGTCCCCTTTTCTCCACACCCTCACCAGCACTTGTTTGATGATTTGTTGATGGCAGCCATTCTGACAGGTGTGAGGTGATACCTCATTGTTGTTTTCATTTGCATCTCTCTGATGGTTAGTGATGTTGAGCATTTCTTCATATGTCCCTTGGCCATTTGTATGTCCTGTTTGGAGAGATGTCTATTGAAGTCTTTGCCCATTTTTTTTTTCTTTATTAATTTTAGAGAGAGAGAAAGAAAGAGGGAGAGAGAGATAGAAACATCGATGAGAGAGAATATCAATTGGCCGCCTCCTGCACGCCCCCCACTGGGGATCGGCCCACAACCTGGGCCTGTGTCCTGACTGAGAATCGATCTGGTAACCTCTTGGTGCAGGGTCGACGCTCACCCACTGAGCCACACCAGCCAGGCTGCCCATTTTTTTTAGTTGGATTGTTTCTTTTCCTTTTTCTGAGTTGTCATTTTTTCCTCTTTTATCAACCTACGGGAAAAGGTCAGTGCCCTGACTATATAGTCAGGTACTGGGTGTTTTTAAATTTCTTGCAGCCCATCAGTGTGCCTGAGGCCACACACTGGTTGAAAATCGCTAGGTTAGAGACATCCTACTTGTGATTCCATAAAAAGATATATTTATGATAAATAGGTAAAAGATAGAAGACAGAGAGAGAGAGAAGAAGGGAGGGAGGGAGGAAGGAAGAGATGGAGAGGGAGGGAGGGAGAGAGAGAAACAGAAAGAGAAAGAAAAGAAAGAAAGCAAGCAAAGAAAGGACGGACATATACTCTCATTTGACAAAGAAGGATCTGGGTATACAACGCGATCTTTGCCCATCGTCTCCGACATTCCATCTGCCCATCGGACGCTCTTGGGCAGCTTGTCCTCCACTGAGGCCGACGCTGGGCTCTGTCCTGGGTCCCGGGCAGCACCTCTGAAATGTATTCACCGCAGGGTTTTGTGTAACGGTTATAATGCCACGGGAGGCAATTACAGTTTATAAACCAGAAAAGGGAAGTAGCACATTATGTGTTCTCACCCATCGGCAGTAGTTACCCAGACGTGCCTATATATAGGGCAGACCGCACACTGAAGCCACAGCCCCATCTCAGTGGGTTTATTCCACTTCGACACGAAGCCGCGAACTTCTCTTGACAATCGCTTTACATATTTCTCTTCTCTTCACCCGAGTCGCTGTCCCAACGCCGGTGTCCTTTGAAATGCATTACGTGCCTGTTCCAATCTGTTCTTATGTCTCGTCTTCTCCCTTTGTCAGGCTGACGTGTGTATCAGGCGACCTCAGTCTCCAGCCGCCGCTGCTGGGCTTCCTACCAGAGGATTTTCCTGCCATCCTCTGGGATGCTGCTTTACCCTCTAGTCTGAATGTTCTGGAAACAACAGCACTCTCGATTTCAACAGAGGCCATTAATCACGCACATTTATGACCTGCAATCTCCAA